AACAGCTATAGTTTCATTACAAATTAAACATAGCGCCTTATTAATGGACTCAATCACAACCGGCTCTGCATGGGTGCAATGCTGATACTGAATATACATATAAACGTGTGTGATCGCTGCTAATCATAAAGTGCTATAGAGCAAAGCGCAGTCTTCAACACGCTATTTATAAGCACGCGCCGCCGCCGCCCCCCGGCCCCCGCACCCGCTATCTCCTTACATTTCAAATCTGTAGTATCATCGAAAATATTCATTTAAATCACATGCTGTAAAGATCCATACTGACCTATAATAAATGCACAGTGAAAACATACTTACTGGATAACTCGTATTATACAATGGGCGAGTTCTCATGTTCGTAGTGAACTCCGTTTGCTCCTAATAGCATTTCAAAGTGCATGTATTGTTTGCCTTATTTATGTTCAAATTTTTTATTATTATTATTATAAGGTACTTAATTGGATAAGGATTTATGCTGTAATGATTAAAATTGCTTATGAGCCACTGTATTTATTCTGTGTGGGCATCTGTTTTGTATTGGTAATTTTACCTTTCTTTAAGAAACATTACAACATGACTTTTCGATCATGAATGCAAGCAGTTCTTCACTGTCTGATTAAATAGATCCAAAATATTGATTCCTACACTATAACCAAATTTTCTAGATATAATCAAGATTCATTTCATATCCAAGTAGGAAATTTCAAGATATATAATCTGTCATACTAAAGGAATTGATTGTTTCAACTGCGACAATTAAATAATAACAGAATATAGATGAGTACCAAGAAAATATACTCACTTGCTAAATCCTTTATACACGGTTGCATATGAACCTTCACCTAATTGTTCTAGTTTTATATAAGCATCCGACTTGCCAAATGGTGAATCACCCTGGAATAAAAATGTTCCATATAAATAAATACACCAATAACTGTTTCAAGTGTGGAACTTCATTTGGTAACTGAAGCACATACTGAAAACAATAACTTTCATAGTTCTATGGTCGCAGATAATAAAGTTGCTAATTTTGAAAACTCAAAATTTTCTGAGAGTAAAGGTGTTATTGTATTTGACACACCGAAAGTGATGTTAGACCAAGATAAAGCTGAAAGCTTTAATAATTTTTTTATTGAACGTATTCTTGATATTAAAGCAACAATTCCGGCTTCTGTACAATGATCATGTGAAAATCTTGATGTGATTGGATGCAATTTGTCCGATTTCAAACATTTGTCACTGAAGGAATTGGAGTCAATTATTTCATGTTTGGATAACAAGTGTAACTCTAATATAATGAATAACAAGGTTCTCAAGAGTATCTTCTCGGTACTAGATCACCTACTTCTTGATTTTGTCAATACTTTTTTGATAAATGGGCACTTTCCAGATCAACTCAAAATTAGTACAGTTGTTCATGTATCTAAAGTTTACAACGCAAATGAAGCCTTTAACTTTCGTCCCATAAACACTCTGCCTCCTTTGGAAAAAGTATTAGAGTTAGCTGCTTATAACCAAATATGCACATATATCGAAGACAACAACCTTTTGATGGGGTATCAATCAGGTTTTAGATCGCAACACTCATGTGACACTATTCTTCAACTCACCTTTTATCTAAATGGAAACTGTCAATTGATGACAATAAATATGTAGTAGCAGTATTTTTGGATTTCAAAATAGCGTTCGAAACTATAGATATATCTATTTTGCTATCAAAATTAGAGTACTATGGAATAACTGGTAGGGCGTTGCTATGGTTCAGAAGTTATTTACTCAACAGATCTCAATGTACTAAAATAAACAACGTCCTATCAAGCCAAAAAGCAATTGTTACCGGGGTCCCCCAAGGGAGTGTACTTGGCCCTGTTTTATTCATACTTTATTTGAATGACATAAATTTTATTAGTGACTGTGAATTCGTCAACCTCTTTGCAGATGATACTCTCATTGCAGCAAGCGACTCTGATATTCATAATGCCGTACGCAAAATTAATTTGACTCTTGAAAACATAACCTAACCTAACCGTGCGATGGCGTTGACGTTCAATGAAGATTTTAGTTCTGATCCTTATCCAGGTGGCGGGATGAATCGATAATGGGAGCGAGGGTGAAATTAGTAGTAGGAACCTGGGTGTGACTTACAGAGATGTGCGGCATGACAGTAATTATGTCCATGAAAGCGGTAATCTTTGAGAATCATCTCGTTTGTTGAGGCAAATGCGATGTTTTTCAAGTTTAATAACTTCGCAGCTGGAGTTTTTTCGATGGCAATGGTTTTGGTGTTTTTGAAGCTTATTGTGTGGCCTGTTTCCAGATAGTATTTGACTTCCTTAAAGACTCTTCTGTTGGTCTGGCCGATGCAAGTTCTAGATCAGGTGGAACATGGTATGTCCAGTGCCTCATTGGGTGTCGTATCCTTAGATGTTCATAGAAAAGTGGAATTTTGATTGTTGGCTGTGAATACTGTTCTTATGTCGTGTCTTTTGAGAATTCGGCTTACTTTGCCAGTAACTTTACGAATATAAGGAAGAAAAGCTTTTGAGTAGTCAGACTAGGTTGATTTCGGGCAATCGGGGGTGCTGGGTATGGATTTGTTGAAGTTGGATGGATCTTTGGATTTGGAAATTAGAAAAATTCAAATTCGCCAAAACGACCATCACGACTACCAAATGGTCCCATAAACTTCGGCATAGCATTTGCCGGATTTGTTGTTTGTTTCTTCAAATCCTTGCAATGTAGACAAGTGCAAGGATGGCCCACACTTGAAAGGAAGAGAAAAAATCACAGATACATTGAAAGAAGCCAGCTGCACTTTGTGGTTTTAATCAGATCGCCTCAGGATAATCACTAAAGTCTGCTCATATAGGCAGCTTCAGCTATTTACTTCCAGATTCCTTTGTCCAAGAATTTTCCCTGTTTTTGATTCATATCAAATACACTCACCTAATTATCTTCTATATATCGTAGTATAACCAATACTTCTAAAGCATTATTTGTTGACTTCTGACATCATCAAAATGTTATTCCGACCTTTGCTGCCATACGCCATACGTCAACGGAAAACCCCTTCCTTCAACCCCCGTCGAATGACAGGTACAACCCCCAATTTTTTAAATGGGAAGTATAAACTTGTGATATATCGTTTGAAAGGTCTCTTCATTCTCTATTCAAAAATGTTATTTTATTGCAACAATTAAGATAAAATAAATTAAAATCATGTGGTTACTGAAATTCGATAAAATACACTCAACTTGAAGTCTTAAAGACTTCAAATCTGAAGGTTTAGTTTTGTATACATTGCTCTTTACATATCCCCATAAAAAGAAATCTAATGATCCAGTAGCGTCAATTTTGCCGATTAGCATGGCTGTTAAGAGACAAAGTACAGTCATCAGAAAACATAACGTCTTCTAATTGGCTGATATTGTTATCCAACATGTCCATCATAGGTTCTTTTATCAAAATCGTCTTCCATGAGCTCCTGAGTAGGTTTCATTTTATAGGGATGCATTTTATTTTCTTTTAATATGTTTACTATCGATGTATGGCTAACATTGAACGTAGTAGATGCCTATCTACTCAATGTATATGGGTTTTCCTCAAACTCAAGCATCACATCTAATTTGAGTTCATCACTCGTTGCATTGACAGCTGCTTTTTTTATCTGCCCCACATGACCAAACTCGCAAAACTGCTTCTCTATTTTGCTTATTGTTCCTTGAGATATGGGCGGTAAATTAGGAAATTTCTCATGAAATAGGCGAGCTACTTCCTGTTGTGTTCGGGTTTTATCTCTGTAATCAATCATTTGTAAAACTATTATTTTATGACTTTCCGTTAATCTAACCATTTGTCAGACTTGAAGTTAACGAACTTTAAACTTAAATTAAAATACTGATAACTAATGTTGTAACATACAAAACAAATTAACAAGGCGTTTTAAACTAACGTTGCCATGGAAATTATTAACAGTTTTTTAAAGGATACCATCTAAAAACATCATGATTTTAATTTATTTTATCTTGATTGTTGCAATAAAGTTGAAAGCGATAATATTTTTGAATAGAGAATGAAGAGACCTTTCAAACGATATATCACAAGCTTATACTTCCCATTTAAAAAATTGGGGGTTGTACCTGTCATTCGACGGGGGTTGAAGGAAGGGGTAGCATTTTACCGTTGAAGTATGTCAAATTATAATTTAAATTTGTCGTGTTTCGGAATTTTGTTAAGATATGTATCGTAACTGAAATAATGAATTTATTCCTTTTGGCTTTTACACACTGTATAAACACTATATCATATCTCAACTGAATTTATGCTTTTTTAAAAATAAATTACTCCATTCTTTTCAAAATAGAATATGATTTTCTGCCATTAAATATTAAAAAACAAAATGCATTGAATATCGTGAACTATGAACTCACCCCAAAGGCTGAATACCTCTTAGTCCGTCGGTGATCACTTCCTTGATTGAGCAAAACTTCGGATTTGGGCCTGGGAGGTTTCCTTGGCCTCAGTATTACTTTGGTTTCTTCTCGAATGTCTTCATCTAAAAGTTTGCTATCACTAGAAACAGATAGTTGCCTTTTTACCCTGTCGTGACCAGGAACGCTGTTCCACTCTGAAATAAAAACATAAAAGAGTCTTAAGCAAATTTTTCAAGACCATTGCCATTATTTTTCAAATGTATCAAGGTAACTTCAGGAACAACTTAGTGAAAAGGTGGAAAAACGAGGTTTGGAATTGATTTTTCCTTCAACCACTTGTCGTCCTCCAACGAAAGGTAATTTAAAAAATTGAAGCTTGTGCGGTTAATATCCTGCTTCTAAAGTTTGCTTATGAAACCGTTACCCATCATATTGATTTTAAAATAAACTGTAGATCATGTACAGAAGTTACTTTCAGATACAAACTGGAAGGAAACTCAGAGCATTTATAGATAAAATGTGAAACACCGGCGAAAATGTGTATTCAAAATGTGTTGCTCCGTTAACCAGCCGTTAAAACTCATGCGAGCTAAGAATTAACGAGGTATTATCATTCAACGTGCGATTCTTACGATAGAATGAATTAAATGAATACATTTCCACACAAACCAAACCTAAAGCACTTTTTCTAAATACATGTTTGATTAACGTTATCAGATAACTAAGTCTAAGGTTAGAATGGCTGAAAAATTTCATTATAACTTTCATATTTACTAATCGGATCAAGATGAAAATTTGCAAGAAACGGTAAGAAAGTCATTTTCTACTGAAAGCTTCGGAGTAGTGCTCACGCCAAACAGACTGAGTCGAGAAAATGTAAGAGCACTTAAGATCATGCAGCAAACCATCAAACGATGTGGAGATGGGTACAAAATTGGTCTGTTGTGGCGAACTGACAATGTCGTTATACCTGAAACTAAAATACAAGCATTACAGAGGTTGATATGTCTCGAAAGAAAATGTCGAAATATTCCAAAATTTGGCGAAGAATACTATCAGAAACTACGATCATATGAAGAAAAAGTATATATACGAAAACTCACCAGAGAAGAAGCAACATGAACATGTTATATTCCACATTTCGCTGTTGAGAACACTAATGAGAACAAAATACGTCTTGTATTTGATGCAGCCTCAAAGTTACATGGCTTAAGCTTGAATGACCATCTTCTCGCCGGTCCCAATTTGCTGCAGTATTTAATAGCAATACTTTTTAAGTTCAGACAACGACGTTTCGGATTTTGTGGAGACATATAGGAGATGTTTCATCCAATAAGAGTACGTGAAGAAGACAGAAATTCACAAAGATGTTTGTATAGAGATTTGAAATATATCAGGGAACCTGACACCTATGAAATGATGGTTATGATCTTTGGAGCCACCTGTTCTCTAGTATGTGCCCAAATTGTTAAGAATAACCACGCTGAGAACTTTTCGACAGATCCACGTATAAGAGAAGCTATAACGAAGAAGTTCTATGTGGATGATCACTTGGATTCTACGAATTCTGAAGAAGAAGCTGTCCAAGTTGTCCAAGCCATTTGTAAGGGGATGAAATCTGGAGGATTCGATGTGGTAAACTGGATGTCTAACTCGAGAGCTCTGAAAGAATTTACATTAGAGTAAGTCATTGCTAAGTTGGGATTTAGGGATTCCTGTAGGGGAGCATTTCAGAAGTTAAAAATATTGACAGTTGCAGTAATATTCATACTTGAGGCATGCAAAAATTGAAGAGATTTTATTCTGAAATAATAATACTGACACTTGAATATTGAGGAAAATGTGTTGAAAATGAATATTATACACCTGTATGATATTCATTACCTCATTACCTCGTCCCTGTTATGAATTTAACGGCTCTTTCGTTCATTTAGCGCTTACTGTGCACATTCATATTTTTGGTCCTGACATGCATTTTTCATTATTGTAGTAAATATACATATTTGTTCGTATCCTTTCCAAATCCACTTTCTTTTCATGTCAAGGAATATACTCTGATATCATCAAATAAGCGAATGAATGTCATTACAAACTGTCATCAATTACAGTCGGTCAGTCGGTAGCCAAGCGGTTCGGCGTGGGTGCTTTGTTCACTCACTCGAATTGACTGCCGTGTTGGTCGGTGGTTCAAGCCCTAGTCTGAACGATCGATCTTCACTTGCTACCGTTCAACCCGTGTCAGGAATCACACGTTAAAAGGTAAGACCTCGTTAATCCTTAGCTCGCACAAGTTTCGACTTCTGAGGGTTGTTGTTCGTAGGGGTGCGACAGCTGGTTAACGGAAAAACAGATTTTAAACAGACAGAAACATAAGTAGATTGAACGATATAAGTAGATTGAACGACATAAAGTCTACATAAGTAGATTGACATAAGGTCGTAATTTTATGAATAAATTGAGCGCTTCATCTTACAATGTTACCTAAATTTGGTACTGAAGAGGCAATAAGGCGTGTTTTATGCCGAAACATCAAATGTCCACCAGTGAGGATGACAGTGTTCCATGTGAGTAAAATTTTACCCCTTTCATGTGCTATATTGTGTAGCAATCCTGTGAATGATATCTTATTCTATTTCATAATGAATGTTTGGAATGCGAACTGAATAGAGAAAAGTATTTTTTGTATGATTCAGTGTTGATATAAAAGTGTGTATGTTTATAAGAAAGTAGTTGTGTCGAGGGGGCTATTTCTGCCAGTTTTATGCCTAAAAGTTACTTCTTAGTCTACACACATTTGTATAGAGTTAATTTTTTGAAAATGGTTGCTTTCTTCCTTTCTTTGGAAGATTCCCACTTTTTTAAAAAAAGATTCTTATTTTACTGATGACGATGTTCAGAAATAAAATATTGCAAATGAAATTGTAATAAATTAGTTAATTACCAGCTGACTGTGCACTCCGCATCGTACCCATGTTTTCACTCCTTCCATAAGTTGAATAATCCCCTGAAAAATGCACAGTTTCAGTTTCTTAATTAAAACCAATATATTGACAAAACAAATGTTGATATTATCGATAAAAACTAAATAATAATGATAAATAAAAATATAATGATGTATAAACCGATTCAGTTCAGTAATTATTAACCCTGAAACTGATTTCTCTCCAGCAAATCTTATATGTGAAATATCAATTTTTCTCTCATCAAGATTGACTAACCATTATTTAATTATGTTTGATAGTTGTTCATTTCTTTGTCTTTGGAAAATTATCTAGTGCTAGGAATCGCACGTTGAAAGGTGGGACCCTGTTAATCCTTAGCTCTCAGAAATTTCAATTTCTGAGTGTTGCCGATCGTATGTTACAGACAGCTGGTTGACGAAAAGAACACATTTTTTGTATGACCATTGTCAAAAAAATTGTTGGGTAAATTGGTAAAATAATTCATAATTTTCGAACCAATCACAGTTAACCAGATTCACAACACCTTCCGGGCCAATTAAGATAAGCAAATTCAAATAAAAACCGAGACTCGGGAAATGAAAACGGGTGTACACTGCCAGAAATTTGTGATGTGAAGAAAAGTTGATATTTTTCATTAATACTGAAATGATAGTAGTTAGAAAATCAAATAGCTTTATGTCTCACTAATGTGTAAGCCAGTTTTGTCGAGTAGTTAGTTGAATAATGGACTTGGATGTCAGTAGTCATAGGTTCAAGTCACATCTAAGGCAGTTTTTAATTTTTTTTAACTACTCAATAATCGAATAACTTGAAATCGAAAAAAATAACAAAAACAGTGAATATTTTTGAACGCTTTTTCAGTATGTTCCTCTTAACGAAATTTAATGGTATTACTCTGATTTGGGATATCTTTTACAAATGAATTTTATTTCAAAATACTCGTATTCCTGTCATAAAAAGTTATAGTGGCTTGATAGGTGTCAGTCCATTAACCTACAGTGTAGGTAATTTGAGACTAGCCTGAACGAATCGTTCTTTTAGATGATTTGATTTACAAACTTGCCCACTCAATTTGTGAAGTTTTCTTCCTTATACGAGAAATTGGTCAAATTCTGATATGCGGTTGGTTACCTAGTTCACAGACAGATGGAGCGATGGTAAACATGATGTTTATCGTTCGCTTTTGCCTAGTTCGAGAAATGATACACTGAAAGGAATTCGATTTTCATAATAGACACTACCTTGCAGCGACAAGTGGCCAAACAGCCCGTAACGGGTCTGCAATTGTGTTCCAATAATTGAAAATCTGTTGCGGCAGTTGTATCGCCAACAGCATATGCAGGAATAACTTCAGTGAAGAATCCTGTACTGACACCTTCAATCACTTATCAGACCGTGAGGTGAGAAAGCAGATATACGGATATTCTTAAAAAGACATTTTTTGTGGAGAAGTCTGTGTTTCTAACCGTTTTTTGTTTGTTCATCCTTCCACAATCTGGAAAATAACATGTGGCTTAGAAAGTAGATGTTTTGTGACGCATTTCAAGTCACACCGCTTCCTTTCAAAAACGGACAAAAGTTTTCAAAACGATCTGATTACAAACACTTCATGGTTAATTTATGAGAAATGGAGCCTATAATAGTCTTGATGAAATAGAGGTCACAAACTCCGTTATTGACAGCGATAATAAATATATAAACTCCTCTGGTTACAGTTTTAGGTTTGATGAAGAGGACAAGTCTCCCGTGTTCTTTGACTATAATGGTCAAATTGGTTTAAAAATCATTGATTATATTGAAAATTGTTTCGTGGAGAGGTTCCTATTACGTATTCAAAAACACGTTGCGAGATTTTCACTTGACAGTCTATGAAACCGCGACACGTGTTTCGCTATACAATAGCATCTTCAGGCGTCACAATACTGTTCTTATTAATAAGACATAATAACTTGATATTATAACGTCGAAATCATACAAAAAGCGGCATAATAGTGATCGTGTTTTGGATACCTATTTGTTCACCAACCTTCATATCTTTTGTTGATACATTTTGCGGCACTGATTCTTCAGTTGAAACTGTTTTTGAAACTGTCTGTTACTTTATAGTTTTATAGATGTTTTTTAACTAATTGGGGATATCGATAATTGAAAGAATTGTGAATGAATGAGAAATCTCAAATTTTCTTTGAAGATAAACTGAAGAAAAAACTTACCATATCCAAGATCGCCTTTTTCTGCCGGTATATTTCCATTAGGTTCTAATCGGTCTAGGAACTCGTCGCTGTAGCCATTATAGTGCAGTTTTCCATGCTGGGTATGTTCTTCCGCCTCTTCTTTCGATACCGCTAAAACCGAACGGAATAGTTTTCAGTTACACATTCACTAGTTTTACTGGTCAACTTTTAAAGTATAAAACAAGTATTTCATAAAGATTTGGAATATTTCTGAGCACAGTCTTTACTCTAACGCAACTTTACACGAGAAACTAATCTAATACTTGTAGATGCTCGAAAAGTGAGATAATTGTATTGTTGTAAATCATGCCCTAAAGAAAATAACGCTGGCCGCCACTGGTAGCCATAAACCAATTGTGACGTGGCCAAGGCCGCGCGCAGCCTCGATTATTCTAGTCTTCGCACCGGCTTCGATGGAATCCCGGCGAATATTCCATTGGCTTCGATTGAATTCCAAGGAATTTTCTATGACCTTCGATTGCCAAATTTAACCACGATCCACTCGCCTATCGAGACAGTCTGGAGGAAGTGACAGTGCGGTAAGCGGAGCGATCTAGGAAGGCGATAGACCTTCAAATAACAGTTGAAGTTTTATTTGAAGGGTTCTGTTGTATTGAAAGTGAAATAAAGTTGAGTTTGATTATTGATCAGTGTAGTTAATCATTGGTAAACTCACGGGTAAAAACGTAACAATATTTATATTGTGTTAACAAATAAAGAATACTGGGTTCATATTCAACAATGTGCAATGTCAACATCTCGTTAACCATACTCTAACAAGAATGCTACTGAGCATATAAATAATTGTACTGTGAAGAAGAAATCATCTTCCATGATAGTATTCAACCTAAACAATTTTGGAATGTATAATATGTACAAATTCAAAACTTACTGTTGTTGAGATTGGCTGTGTTGAAAAATATATGAACATATGCGTACCAATGAGAAAACCCAATGCCAAATTTATCAAAAAACATTAGAAAACTATGAATTTAATTATTAGAACTCTTTTTAAAACAGATTACTGAGAGCACATGTTTCAGGATGTAATCTACCATCACTTTTATGAGAAGTTTTCCGATCTTTCAGTAGTCTTGATGTTTGAAACATGGTATTGAATAAAATAATTTCTTCCTTGTAAGCAAGTTTCAGTTTCGGCCGAAACCAAAACTGAAACTTCCTTGCAAGCATTATGTTTTGAGGGAAAAATAATGAAAAGGTTATTTTAAACAGTTAGTCTTTATTTTTTTATATTTAAATCACAACGTTATGTAGTCTTCGACATTTTTACTTATTGATAATCAACATAAAAAACCCTTATTTCAGAAAAAATATTAATGGCACCTTAAAAATACTTAAAATAGGTGAGGTGTTTATTTGCGTAGGTGTAGATCCTTCTTTTGAATATTATCGATGGGTTTTCAGAATATTAAACATAAAATTACATTACGAACATGACCGATCATAGCGCGGGAACTCCCGAATGCAGTTTCGGTTTCAAACGTAGTTTTGGCAGGTTTGCCGCCGAAACCGAAACTAAACCGAAACCGGTTTTTTTGCTGAAACTAGACCGAATCCGAACTTTCAGTCGGACACTAATTGGAAGGTATTAGGAGTTTTATTTTCAAGTTTTGAAAGTACTTTGTTAATATATTGATGGATGTAGTTACGACGTGGTAGGAAGCCATAATGAAGAAAAGAGAATTGAAACTTTCTATGTTTTTTACCACTTTTATCTGTAACTAACGTTACTGCAGTTTCGTCCTATAAGGACATTTTCAAACTTATACATTAATGTATGAGTTTACCAAACAGTTCAAAGGATATAGAAGAATATTTAGGCAAAACGAATAATACTGGATATTCAATGTTTTTTAGAGCAATTGATAGATATGATGTTCTAGCCGTGNACATTACTTACGGAAAATCCCCTATATGGTATTAATGACTTTTTCCATTCACTCCCGGGACCATAGAGCAAAGATGCCTTTCACGATTGTATGTATGTACTGTATTATTATTTTATTGCACTGTATCTTCTGAAGATTTTATATTTTACTTTTAGCATATGTTAATTTGATGGTATTTTGTGACATGTTCTAAAGCTGTAGCTTTGTTATGAACCAAATAAAAAATTTGAATTTGAATATACATTGGAAAGTGTCCTTATAGGACGAGACTGCAATAACGTTAGTTATACAAATAAAAGTGGTAAAAACATATGAAGTTGCAAGTCTCTTTTCTTGATCAAATTGCAGAAGTAAAATAACGTCAACCACTATTTTACGAGGACAGCCTGGAGTTGATTTCAAATTAACTTTCGATGGAAAACAAACGCTTGAAAAATCTAACACAACCTGAAGAGATTACGAATTGTGATACTCGTGGATATGTCGGTTTTTACATATCAAAGAATAAGAAAAGAAGTAGATTCTGAAATTAATGGAACTGATTTGGAATTAGATGGCATACAGAAGTATTCCGCATCTAACAGAAACGACCTCATTGTATTGGGGATGAAATTGGTAGACTGTAAGAAAGTATGAGAACTTGGAATTGTCACTGTTCAACATAACAATGATGAATTTTATCGCATCCATTTCAACAACAATTTTACTTGAATACGCTAGACCGGCTAGACTTTTGAATTTTCACCCAATAAGAGTTCGTTCTCCCCACTCAAATATCTTTTACAGAGCGCAATAATAAACTTTCATCAGCATCACTATTAGCTGGAACTTGTAGATTTGTTCGATGTTCGATTATCTTCGATGCCAACTGAGATATCTACTTCTCTTCATCGTGGTGGTATGGGAATGGGTATGGTCTCACCGAATTTCTTTTCAATTCTGCATAGGTACTGTGGATTGGAGATTTGACAAATGGTTATGTTGTAATTCCATGCCAAACTTCAGTTGAACTATCAGCTGTTCCAATCATAAATTTCAAATTAATCAGAAACCATTATTTAACAGACATGCACGTTGACAACAATTTACAAACTGTTAGAAATCTGTTGGTGACTCAAGGTTGGAACGAACCCTATATTGAAACTAGTGTCCGACCGAAAGTTCGGTTTCGTTTGAGTTTCGGCAAAAAAACGGGTTTCGGTTTAGTTACGCTTTCGGCGGCAAACCTGCCGAAACTACTACCGAAACTGCATTCGGGAGTTCCCGCGCTGTGGTCGGTCATATTCGGCGCGTTGAATTTCATACAAGTGACGAAGACATTTTGCCATAAAATTACTTAAATAAGTAATTTTATGTTTAATATTTTTGAAAATCCATCAATAATATTCAAAACAAGGATCTACACCTACTCAAATAAACACCTCACCTATTTTAAGTATTTTTAAGGTGCAATCAATATTTTTCCTCAAATAAGGGTTTGTTATGTTGATTATAATGTCGAAGACTGCATAACGTTGTGTTTTAAAGATAAAATAATAAAGACTAATGATTATAATAACGTTTTCTTTATTTTTCCCCCAAAACATAATCCTTGTAAGGAAGTTTCGGTTGGTTTCGGCCGAAACTGAGACCGTTGCCGAAATTCGTTTTAAGTTTCGGTCGTAAAAATCAGTTTCGGTCGTAAAAACCAGTTTCGGTCGGACACTAATTGAAACACTGTAAATGAAAACTTGTAAATATGACTCACATAATCGTCCAAAGGAGTGTGACAGCCTCTTCCTGAGCTTCTGCATTCGAGATAGGGCACCACTTTTTTTTTCGCGCATTGTGACTCCCGTTGGTAAGCCTGCAAATAAATTCATTTAAATGTAACGATGCAAATAAATTATAGGCATAACTGAAACGACATAACAATCTATCCAATGTAATAATGAAAACATTTCAACAAATATGTTATATGAAATAGTACAATGCCCAATTCTCTAGAAATTACGCAGTTCCAACTCGACTTCTATTCAACATACAATTCAGCCCTATTAAGGACTTTCGAATCAGCAGTCCCGAAATAGAGCACAAAGAAGTTCCGAGTAGCAAAAATTTATGAAACCAGGAACCGCAAGAGCTTCATGATTCATTTGGCCAAGCGTTTTAAGTTGACTAGTTCATATTTCATTTTGGTATATTTCAAAACTAAAAGTATTTTTTTAAACTATATTTGAAGTCTGTTATATAAGAAGTGGCGCAGTCGGTAGGATTTCTAAAACGAAGTGGAATGAATGAATATATGAAGAGGACCGACACTGAATGAGAAACATCTGTATACCGAAAACCTACTTACATGGGACAGTATCTGAACCAGGAATCCAACCACCATCAATCGATCAATCGACCAAGAGACGAATCATCAAGACTCTACTAGACCGTGCTTTCGGGCTCTGTAATACAAAGAAAGGTCTCGAAAAGGAACTAGGCATCATCAGAAATGACCTTCAAAGGAATGGTTACTCCAAAGTAATGGTGTAACAGACTTTCATATCTGGAAACACTATGTGTAACAGTCTCACGAAAACCAGGCCACCAAACGCGGACTGCGATTCCAAGAATTGCATTTACCGGATACCTCGCAAGTGCGGAGAATCATACATCGGTGAAACTGAGAGGCCATTGAAAGTTCGCATCGCCGAGCACAAGAAACACACACAGCGAGGAGAAACCAGCAAATCAGGAATAGCAGAGCATGTTTGGACTCATCAACATAACATCAATTCGGGTCAAGCTGAAATCATCCACAAGAAGGAACACTGGTTTAGGACAAAATTCAAAGGAGCCACATATACGTTGTTCAACTAGCTATCGTAGAGATACGCAACATATAGGAACCTCTAATCAAGCGGAACACGATCAACTCCCTCCAAATGGTCAGCTCCCGCTAAAACCGATGAAGCGGAGAGAGGGGAGATGGGATAGGTGAAAGCACTCGAATGACCTATAAATAGTCAGATTTCGGAGGAATAAGTCCAGTTATAATCCGAAGACGATTGTGGATACTAACAATCGAAACGTCGTGAAGTAACTTGGCTTGAAATCTTTTAATTTTTCAATTTTCATTTCTTGTTAATAATTTTTTTTTATTTTTCATCTCGTGTTACTTAATTTTTTTTATTTTTTGGTTTTTGCTTGTATTATATTTTATGTAATTTCAGTTTTTTTGCTTACTATAATTGTTATTTTTCAGCTAATCTCTTTTTTAATTTTTTACAATTTTTTTCAGGGATTTAAAATCAATTTATATCATATTAGACAATGGAAGTCCAAACTGATGAAAACTACAATAGCCGTCGGAAAGGACACGCCAAAAAATTAGTGAAGAAATCAAATTTGCCCTAAAATGAATGAAAATTATAAAAATAGAGGCGTTTTCTGGCGCTCGTGTATTCAAAACATATTCGTCTGTGATTCAAATACATTCATCCGGGCATTGAAACGATGACGTCACATCAAGTATGATTTGAAACGTATTCATGATGATTCAAAAATAGCGTGAAACGGAAATTGACGTTACGTTACGTCAGTTGTCAGTGTCTGCTTCATTTCGATCGTTACAGGTTATAAAGTGCTGAAAACTTTTTATCAAATACGTTGCAAGGATGTACAAAATAAAATTGTATGCACAAATACGATTCTGATTGAGGTAAGAGAAAAATGAAGAGTTTGTTTTTATTTTTGAATTTGACATCTGACACAAATTGAATCATTCCGTTCTGGCGAATCTTATTATTAATGACGTCACTACGAATCGTTTTTGAATACACGCTTGAATACGATTAAACGCCAGAAAACACCTCAAATTTTAGTTTAAGGCAAAGCAGTGCGTATGTAACGTTTACAAAAAAATTTAATCCACATTTCTGTACGGGTGCCACTGGTTGAAACCATGAAATATCTTCTACTACAAAAGTCTGGGTTATTCGGCGAATAATTTTGTTAGTAATGTGAGAAATGCACAAATTCACTCTTGTAAAACGTTTTTTCTATATTTGTAACAATTCGAAACCAATGGGGAATGTTCCTCCTGACGAAAATCAAGTAGTTTTCATAAAAGAGCTCTAAAACAACGCATTTTAAACAAACAAAGATGACATATTTCAGAGGCGTGCTGTTCTGTTTACTTATGTTCCGAGTTCCGAGACATTCTGTGACATATGACATTTTGTGGACCTAACCTATCTTCCTCTATATAAATAAATAACAAAACAACTATTGTTTATGTGGCTTGTGGAGGTGGTATTGAACTTTAATTTATATTTTGCCTTAATTGTTGATTTATAAAGATAATTTTCATTTTTTGAAGTAGAATATCTAGGTACGTATAAATTATTTCAACTTGATATAGGCGCTGTTGCCAATATGTCAATTAGAAACAAATCCCTTTAAAAATTATAACCCAACATTTGAAACATCAATTTGAATACTTTTCGAAGTGAATTTGAAAAACTCATGAATTGAACTCAACTTTATTTTGTTCAAACTTGCATTTGCTGTAATAACCCAAATTGAGGAACATTCCCCATTTCAAAGAACTGACGGAAATTTGTGAAATTTCAAAGTTTTGTGTTTAAATGTGTGATTTACGTGAAGTATAGTGAATTTGTGTGGATTATGTGAGAAATACGTGATTCCTTTATTGTGTTTCTACAATATTCGAAATGAATTCGAGAAGACTATCAAATTAACTTGGGAATTTTTTTGTTATTTGTGTTAATCGAGTCTGATTATTTGGCGAATAATTGTGTTAATAATGTAAGAAATGCACTATCTCACTCTTGTACAATGTTTGTCCAATATTTGTAACAATTCAAGATTAATTTCACAGAACTGAAGAAAATTTGTGAAATTTCGTGAGAATAGTGAAGAATAGTGAATTTGTGTGAACTATGTGAGAAATACATGATTTATTTATGTGTTTCTACAATATTCGAAATGAATACGAGTAGAACATCAGAAACATTTGGAAACATTTTTGTCATTTGTGTTATTTGAATCTGGGTTATTCGGCGAATAATTTTTTTAATAATGTGAGAAATGTACAATTTCACTCTTGTACAACGATTTTCCAATATTTGTAACAATTCGAGATGATATTCACAAAACTGAAGGAAATTTGTGCAATTTCGTAAGTTTTGTGTATAATGTGTGATTTATGTGAAAAATATTGAATTTGTGTGAATTCCATAAGCATATCTAGAAAATCATTAAACTGGTGAAGGAAAAACAATTTTTTCTCGCAAATTTTAGTACATAGCTTCATTTGAACTTTTCTTTTTAAAATCACTTACTCTTATGGATCAACACTCTGCCTGGAGCATTCAGAAATTTAAACTTGAATCATCAATTCATTACACACAATTGCAACAAGTAGTTGTTGACAATTGAGTTCATACTAATTTAGAATATTTGAATGAAAACGGACTGTGCGGTCCACACAGTCTTGTTACGTTCGCAAGTAGGTATACCTCGTAGAATAAATTCAAAAAACACTTTATTAGGAGATTTTCACTAAACATTTTTACAAAGAGTGATGAGTGAAAATAGAGAAGGATGGAATGAGTAAGATTCAAAGATAAGAGCGTGGTTGAATTATAAAAATAAGAATTTTTATCGACCTTTTTTGGGTATTTTTTGGGAATAACTGCCAATATATTAGAATTTTTTGGCCATTTCTGAAGAAGGAGGCAGATTTTGGTCTTCGAAACGTTATAAGATAAGTATTGTATTATTTCTTAACAATTTTTTTGATGGGCAAAATTGTTAAATACGACAATTTACTGATGAATAGAAGATTTTTCTTTGTGAAAAATACTTTGATCTTTACGCAGTAACTTACCGGGGTAAACTAAAAAGTTTGCCCTTCTACACTTGTATAAAGTTCTCCATTATAATTTTTATATTTTTCAGATTGTGGAAGGTAACACATACCTAAAAAAGGTCGATAACAATCTGATTTTCTTCCACAAAAAAATTACTTTCGTTAAAAATAAGAAATGCAGATGAAAATATTTGAAGCGCGAAAGTGACACATTAATAATGATGACATAACACACATAATATGCGATTTCTCACCTCTAAATTTCCTATGACTCAACGAACATTTCAGGCGGGTTCATAATTCCGTTAATTACATCCTTTGTTCAAATAATGTTAGCACCAAATAAGTAAAACTTCGCCCTTTCATGTAACGACGTTAAAATGACCCGACTATTGTGGTCATTAGCCTAATGAAGTATTATTCTGTCATTACTGTCATTATATCGTTTGAGTTCGCGCGATTTGGAACTTGCAGCAATTTATCACGCTATGTCATACTTTTAATCAAATTAAAAAGCATTAGCATATTCGACACGAGCTTACATGAAAGTGTATTGAAAATAAATCTACGAGTTTCATTCGTCTTTTAGCAAAGTTATGCATTATCCAACCGGAAAAACGAACGAACTTGCCTCAATATAACTTTTAAGGTCGATGCCTAACGGGTAGTTAAATTATCAGAAACTTCTGGATTACGTTCACGTTCCCAATGAATCATAAAGACGCACTGCTTTTGCTGCTGATTTAGATTCGCATCAACCCGGCATAACCTACAAATAGGGGCGCAGGCTCCATTTATGAGGGTGCAGCGAGGGTGGACGTTCACGTTTCAAAACTTTGTCGTACGTAATGCGGTCAATAGGCAGCTCGAATGATCACTATCAATATTTACGACGTTGAATGATGAATGGTAGTTAACAGAATGTAAAGAATATAATTCTGGTCATGAATTATAGTTTTCTTAATAAGATTGGCATAAGA